CCTCCTCGAGTGAGTGCCTCGTATTTGCATTTGTTGTAGAAAGCGTGGTAAACAGTATTTGTGATGGTACGTCGTGTTTCCATTGTCAAACTCAAAATTCTATATTGAGAAAAAATTGACAGATATCCATTATAGTGGGAGTACCTCCAGGGTAGCGCTGATTCATCGGCTCAGCCGATTCGGCTGGACGTAGGTGTTCAGTGAGTAAGTGAGCTAGTGATAACAAGAGCAGTGCTAGTAGTCATCCAGGAGCGTAGTGATGTTTCCACCAACCATAGTAATGATAAATTGTAATTGATATCGATCTATTTCCTGACTGATTTATTGTCCGCTTGCATATGTGGACTCGGTGGGGATGCGTACTTCGCCGCAGGTATGCGTGTCGGACCCACAACATGGGCTTGGCTAAGTTGTGCTATAGGAGGGGCGCCCCTTTGGAGGGCAAAACGGAGAGTGGTGATACTCCATTCAATATAGCAACCAAACAGAGAGACTATATGATGATGGAATTCCTGTATACTACCAGGCGACCGTAGAGGAAATGGTATGGGCGCGTCTGTAGGTATACGTATGGTGTTCGTATTAACTCTAAGGACGCACTGGGTAAGGCCGCCTTGCATGTAGCAGCATCTAGTAACGACGTGGACGCTATTTGCCGGCTTATCGAGTGGGGAGCTGATGTGAATCTTCGGGATAAGTAGGAGCCGATTCGAACAGATTTGGGCGTAGACTTTTCTGTTAGTCGTCAACGGACCCCCCTCCATTATGCAGCAGCAGGTGGACATATCAAAGGGACCATGCTGTTACTTGAGCTGGGGGCAGACCTTAACGCTGAGGACCACAAGGAGTATACGGCAGTGGCCCACGCTGAGGCTAATGATCACTTCCTGCTAATGGACAGGTGAGATCGTCATGATTGATTTGGTCTATTGGGCTTGTCAGACTGGCCTCTTTGGGTGGTCGGGGCCATAGACTCCATGAAATCCGCGGACAAGTACCGGCGCCTCCAAAGAGGAAGTCTACGAGGGAGCAACTGATGGAGAATGAGGCCATGGGAATCGTCACGGTGAGAGAATATTCTTTTGTTTCTAGAAGTAAAGGACCTGTGATAGAATCCGAAGCGGAAGAATAGTATTATATCGCCACTGTATGACCCTGCGGTCAAGAAGGAGATCAACAAGTATGCAGCCCTACAGGCCAGGGACGACTTGGAGGCCAAACAGTTGGCTAAGCTCGCCGCTAAGAAATTGGTGGGGACTTGGGGGCACTGATGGATTGTGTTCTACGCATGCAAGCATTTGCTGTTCATTCATGTATAGCAAGGTGTCGTGAGACTACGGACTTGAGTTTTATCATGTTAGTGGATTCGTGAAGGGACTGTGGGTCAATCGAACCTGTCGAGAGAGAGTACCGGCTCGATGCTTTG